GGCCCATTGATTTCTTAGTTCCAGGTCTCGTTTCAATTGTTGTTCGCTCGATTCTTCTGTGATGGTCTTGTCCAGTCTTTTAACTACTACAGTCTTCCTGGCTCTTAGTTGTGGTGGGATTACTACTTCGAATCGCTGCTTCTTCAATTCCTTTATGCTGTCATTCGATAGTAGGGAGTCAACGTCTTCTTCTGTCAGGCAGAGGGCGATGAATGAATCCTTGGTTGTAATAAGGCTCGTGATCTTTATTAGTAGTTTTGCACCGAGCAGTTCGGCTAGTGAGCTCTTCCGCGGTTCGGTTACATCCCCATCAAGGGAGCGTATCCTTACCCTATGTGCCCTCATTGTAGAGGGGGCAAGGTGGACAAGCCACCTTTTGAAATTCGATAGGTAGCCTACCTAGTCTGGGTGAGTTAACCTACCACAGGAATTACAACACCTCCCACCGCCTTTTGTCGGTCGAATGGTCGAAAGGTGGTTCCCGTGTATCTCTCCCAGAGCCCCGTCAGGGGAGCCTACTTCCCTAGTGTCTATCTAATCTGCTCACTTATAGGCGTGAGCCCTAGTGTACCTACTTGGGGGGGGGGGGGGGATACAGGATATGCGACCCCCTTCCCGGGTGGACCCGCACGATCACGGTTTCCCAGGAAGGCTCGGCGGAGGGATGGTTCTGCTCCTTCTCCCTTTCGTGTTCACAAACTCCTGGGAGGGAGGTGAACATTTACAGGGAGGACCCAAGGACGAATACACCTCTAGGATGCAGGTCCCCAGGCCAGAGCGAAATAGAAGGAAGAATAAAGTAGGAATAGCCACTGGTGCAAGAAACACCAGTGGGGTCGCGGCAGGCGTCCGCTACAGGAAACCGTCGCAGAGCACCCAATCTGGGCCGCCTCTGATCAGGAGTCACCCCTGATCAGTGGGGAGGCACAGAGAGGGCGTTGTCAGAGACGAGTTTCCCAAGTGTAGAAGTGTTTGTTGGTGAGGTGATATTTTGCGTTCCGGTCGTCAACGGTAAGAGACAGGCTAGCTGGCTTGGCTGTGAAAGATGAGAAGAGATGTCCGGGACACCTGGCTTCTCTTTCGCCCCTTATTAAATGCCTCTTGACCCAAACAAATCACTCGTCATCCAATAAGAATTCTGGATCCAGTATTATCTGAAGAATATAACCTTTGTAAGTGTGTCTCTCTCCTCCGGCAAAACCATCATTAATCCATTGTACCGAACAGTCGTCAAAATTTCCACAGCCCCCATAGTCCCCAATGTATTATAAGGCTTGTATCTTCCCCCTTTCAAAAGTGGGTCAAAGCTGCGATGCTCCTGTCCTAGTTGTACTGCCCATTTTAATTTTTCAAGAAAGGTCATCGTGCATGACTGTGGAAAAATCAATCTCTTCCTGACACGACCAACGTCACCTTTTGTGTGTTCTTGTCTACTTCCTTCAAATTCCATACTTTCTGTTCTTTCCATTAATACTACCGTTTACACACATTTCTTGTCCTAGATATTTTTGTCTCCTCTCCTCTCTCTCCTCTTCGCTTTCACTTTCCTCCTCTTGCCAGCTTGTCTCCCTCGTCCTTTTAGGAATTCCTTTCTTGCTCACTACCTCTTGTTGTAGCTGTATTTCCTCACTTCGTAACTTCCCTTCCCTTGTGTTTCATCATTCACATTAGAAGGGGCGCCGGTGGGTAGAGCGGCTGCTCTTGCCTCGCAAGCGAGATTTCGCTGGTTCGATTCCCTGGCCGGTGGAAAGTTGTTCGGCCACACCCCCCAGCCTCCCTTGATGCCTGTTCACCTAGCAGTAAAGTAGGTACTTGTTGTAAATCGAAAGTTGCGAATTCGTATTCAGGTAAAGTTGTTGGAGCTTCCTGTTACCTCAAGCGGTACATAATTATGATGACATATAAACAAATGTTATGTTAGGCTGTAACTCACAATGTAGAGTGTTGAAGATGGTTGAAGATGAGAGGTCCAGAAGGAGGTTGGAGGGTGTGAAGGGAGTTTGTTTGTGTATAATTATAATCACCTGACACAGCCATAGCTGACCAGCCAAGGGGCCAGGCTATAGGGTGGGCATTTGAGTATAGCTACCCATATCTTAGAGTCAACACCTACCCTGGCTTCTCTGTAGACTTTCAACACGTTTGACTGTAACCGCCAATCAGACGGTTAGAGGGTGAATAATACATCTCACGTCGTACACGAACATTACAATTCGTGTACGACGTGAGAAGTATTATTCACCCTCTAACCGTCTGATTGGCGGTTACAGTCAAACGTGAATGTCTACTGTGTAGCAGTGCTACCTTGAACCAACGCGCGGGCAGCAGTAACCAAGGTCAACTCAACTCAACCCCCTGGAGGGATGCGCGTGAGTGTGTGCATGCTCGCGCGCGTGTTCCCAGTGCCACGGATTACAGTGCAACGCCCGTAGATTTATAGTGGCGATAATACTTGAACATTTTGTTATTGAAGAAAATAATGTTGTCAGAGTGAGCTCAGCCACTTTTAGTGTAGCGTGTGGGTGTGGATGTATGTGTATCCAGTGGCGAGTAAGTGCAGTGCAACGTCTGTATACTTCTTGCATCAATAATAGTTAAACCTTGTTAGTCCAGAAAATAGTCTTGTCTGGGTGATCTTCATCACTCCCAGTGTAGTGCATGTGAGAATGAAAACACTATGTCATTATTGTTGTCTGACGTAAGTGCAGAATACAATTAGCAGTCATAATTGACTGAAGTGATATTGCTTTGTAAATAACCCAAATATCAATGTAAAGTCTGTAATGATATCAGGTGCGAGTGTATGACGAGGCACACGAACGAGATTGGGTATATTGATGACATGGAAGGAGAGTCGGACCTAGATAGAAGCAAACATTTTGATCTAGTGACAATGGATCCGCTCGCCGAGGTACAATCAGAGAGTGGTGAAACAGGAAATGAGCTTGCAATACCAGGAGATCCACAGGAAGGTCACAGTAGGGAATTATATTATCAACAAGCAGTGGCCAGAGCTGAGGCAGCGTCGGATGAAGTAAACCGAGCCCTGCGAGAACTTAAGGCAGGGTGGATAAAAACGATGCACACTGGAATGGTGGCGGGTCAAGAGACATCAGCACTACCACGAAGAAGTGACAGCTCACAGCCTTCGACAGAGAACTCCAGCAATTATGAGAAGCCAATAGTACGGGAAGAAACCCAGCAACAGGCATCGGTCAATGTCGAGAAAATGGCATCGTCTTTACCGCCAATGCTTGCAAACAAAGCGCCTCAAGTCACAATTATCCATCCACAGGGAGAATCTGAGAAGGGTGAAGAAATAAAAGAGCTAGTGGCTACGATGCGCATGCCGCAAGCCACCCTTCCCAAGTTTAAAGGACAAGGGCGGGCGGAGTTTTGGACCTTTATGCATGCCTTCCGTCGATACATGACAAATGCGGCCGTGCCAGAGAAGAGTTACATCAAGCAATCATGGAATGCGACTATCTAGAGCCAGACAGAGCCTACAACAAGGCAATCAAGATCCTGGAGGCAAGGTTTGGAGATAAGTATGCATATGCGGACCAGCTGGTAAAAAGGCTCATAGACGCTCGCTCAGTGGGGGCGTTCGACGACGAAGGGCTGCGAAAACTGGCATATCAGCTATGGGGTGCAGTAAGCCATCTGGAGACTCTGAACTTGATGTCTGAACTTGAAACAAGGCAGACCTTCAGAACGCTGGTGATTAAGCTTCCCCCCAAATTGAGGGAACGCTGTGTGGATGATGTTCGAAATTATCAGAAGTCGACAGGACACAGAACAGGTCTGGTGAAGAGGTTAGCGCTATATTTGGAGGAGAAAGCGGTGACGATGGATGACATGGCTCTGCTATCAAGCGAGGACAGTCAAGAAGGAAGTAAGAAAAGACCAGAAGGATCATCGTCAAGCAACGTGCCGTGGGCCTAGAGACTATCAGTGAAGCGAAAGGTAATAGAGGAGAAACAAGCTCTGGAAAAGGCTCGTGCCCAGTGTGTTCCAGAGCACATGGATTAGCAGGGTGCGACGAATCCTGGAGCATGTCAGTGAGGGATAGGTTAGAGAGGGTAAAAAGATTACGTTGCTGTTTCTTGTGTCTGAAAGTGGGCCACCTTGTTACTGAGTGTTGGTCACGCTTCAGGTGTGGCACTGATGGGTGCAAAGAGAAGCATTCTAGACTGTTGCATCAAGAACGAAGGGAGGCACTCACTGCAAGTATGTCAAACACACGCAAGGGTGGCGAAAAGCGAAATTTTCAAGGTCTCGTGAAACAGGAGTCAGTGGCAGGCACCTCTGATGGTGGCATGGCCCAGAAAGCCAACGACAGTTCGTACATGGCCGGAAAACTAGGCCATGTCTATGCTACAGGGACAAAGGACGCCCATGAAAACCCATACAGCTGCGAAAGCGACATCTGACTATCGACGAAAAATGCCAAGATTGTACTGTCCATAGTGAGTGTGAAGATTCAGGGAAAGGACTCACACCAACGAAATCACATCAGAACTTTAGCTCTCTTGGACTCAGGCAGCGACAGGTCGTATTGCACCAAAGATTTGGCACAGAAACTAAGGGTGAAAGGGACACCTACCCTGGTAACCATGGGTACACTTGCCCAAGAGATGATACTCGAGTCAGAGGAGGTAGATCTAGAAGTGGTTGGCACAGGCATGAAACGAGGCAGAACCATACTTATGCCGAAAGTACTCATTATACAAAATTTCCCCACAACGCTGCACAACTCCGTAGCGAACACAAGTGATATCTCAAGGTGGACCCATCTGCGAGGTGTGGAATTATAAGAATTGCAGAGCAACAGCATAGAAATTCTGATAGGACAAGATGTGCCACAGGCCCTGGTACCCTTGGAGGTCAGAGCAGGAAGGGGTGGAATGCCATTCGCCATAAAAACGCGGCTGGGTGGGACAGTAAATGGACCGGTGGGGCACCAAGACGCACAAGGAGTTTGCATGTCAGGATGCCTGATGACCGAAACTGTCATGAGTCCTGAAACCCGTCTGGAAAGACAAGTTAAGCTTTTTTGGGAGCTGGAAAGTTGGGACACAGGAGCCTTGCAGTCAGCAGCTCATTCACTTGAGGACAAAAGAGTGTTGAGGCTATGGTCAGAGACAGGCATCAAAACTAATGGTCATTACCAATTTCCCATACCGTTCCGTAATGAGAACACGGAACTCCCAAACAACAAGGCCGTGGCGGAGCGTCGACTAGATGGGCTTCGAAGGAGACTATCCAAGGACACACGGCTGCGACAAGGATACGTAGAGGAAATAAATAAACTGCTTGCTGAAGGATATGCTGAATTAGTGCCTAAGTGCCAGTTGGAGTCAGATACTGGACTGGTCTGGTATCTGCCTCATCACCCGGTGTTGAACCCAAATAGGTCAAACAAAGTACCCATAGTTTTTGACTGTGTAGCCAAACACAAAAGGACATCGCTGAACGACCAGGTACTACAAGGTTCAGACTTCAACAACAAATTACTTGGAGTCCTGTTTAGGTTTCGCAAAGGAACTACAGCCATCATGGCAGATGTGGAGGTTATATACCATCAAATCTATGTAGTGCCAGAACATCGAGATGCGTTAAGATTCCTCTGGTGGGAGAATGGGGACCTGAGTAGAGAGCCAGTAACTTACAGGATGAAGGTGCACATCTTTGGTGGGGTGTGGAGCCCTTCATGTGCAACTTACGCTCTCCGGCGCACATTCCAAGACCACAGATCCGAGTTTCCCGACATGGTGGCGCAAGCGGAAGTCAACTTCTACGTTGACGACCTGCTCATGTCGCTGGACTCATCAAATGAAGCATCAATGTTAGTGTGTCAGCTTCGAAGACTGTTGGCGTGTGGAGGATTTCGGTTAACTAAGTGGGCCAGTAATCACAAAGGAGTGTTGGCTACCATCCCACCGGAGGAGAGGCAAAATGCACTGAAGGAAATTGATCTGAGGCAAGACAAATTGCCAATGGAGCGAGCCCTGGGGGTTAGGTGGCTCCTGGAAGGTGATCAGCTCGCCATCAAGGTGCAACCAAACTCAAAGCCAGCGACCAGGAGAGGAGTACTAAGCCTGGTCAGTTCTATTTATAACCCACTGGGTTCGTGGCCCCATTCATCATCAGGGCTAAAATATTATTTCAGTGTGAATGAAGGCGTCGATTAGGGTGGGACGAACCTTTGTCGGCTGTTAATCACACGACCTGGAGCACCTGGCTAGGAGAACTGGCCCACCTAGGGAAATTAAGGGTACCCAGATGCCTAAAAACAGCATGTGCTAAAGAAATCATCTCAGCACAGTTGCACACCTTCTGCGATGCATCGCAGGCTGCTTACGGTGCGGTGACCTATCTGAGAATGGTAGACTCTGGCGGAAGTATCCAGTGCTCTTTCGTCTACGGACGGGCCAAGCTGGCCCCACTCAAGCAACTGACAATACCAAGGCTGGAACTTTGTGTAGCTGTCGTGGCAGTGAACGCTGATCGAACAATTCGCCGAGAAATGACCATGACCATACACGAATTCTATTTTTGGACGGATAGCATGCTAGTTTTGCAGTACATCGCCAATTCGAGCAGACGATTTCAAACGTTTGTAGCCAACAGGATAGCAGTCATACAAGAGCTGTCAAGAACTGACCAGTGGAGACATGTCGGCACATCGCTGAACCCAGCAGATAATGCAACTAGGGGATTACCTGTCGTGGACCTGGTTGCAGGATCTCGGTGGATACGAGGTCCTGACTTTCTACTCAGTGTTGAAGAACGGTGGCCAAAGGGAAAGGAACTGCCAGCAGTTTTGAACGACTTACTGGAGGTGAATCGAGAAGTACACCAGAGATCTGTAGTTGCTCTGGCAGTGAGCGAGCAGTCAAAGTGGTCCCTCGCCAAACTGTGGCTCAGGTACTCATCATGGTACCGCTTGGTGAAAGGGGTGGCATGGATTAAAAGGTTTATTTAGTGGCTTGGGTCCAGTACAAGGACCGCAGACCTGCGCCTCAAACTGAAGAGGCTAAGCACTGAGGAACTACAGTCGGCTAAGCAGACAATTATAAAATTGGTGCAGAAAGAGGTTTATGAGAAAGAAATCCAAACTGTCATAAAGGGTGAGCTGCCGAAGGAAAATAAGCCACATAAACTGGAACCTTACTTGGACGAGCGAACGTTGCTCAGATCAAAGGGAAGAATTAAGGGAACCCTTCTTGGGCGAAGTGGTGAGGAGCCGGACATGCCGGACGAGAAAACACGATGGCGTGTGTGAGGCAAAGGTATTGGATTCCCCAGGGCAGACGCTTGCTTGATAGAATCATAGGACGCTGTGTAGTGTGCCGTCGGAACAACTGGAGAAGTCGGCATCAAAGGCAAGCTGACTTACCAATTGATCGTGTCACTCCTGGAAAGGCTCCATTTGCTTACACTGGAACGGACTGTTTTGGTCCATTCATTATCAAGGTAGGGAGGAAACAGGTTAAGCGCTGGGGATGTCTGTTTACATGTCTAACTATTAGGGCTGTTCATCTAGAAGTCTTGGCCTCATTAGACGCAGATGCCTTCCTCAACGCAATAACAAGGTTCTCACGACGCAGAGGTACACCAGAGCGTATTAGGTCGGATAATGGGACAAACATGGTACGGGCAGCCAAAGAGCTCAAACTGGCAGTGAAAAGTTAGGAGCAAGATGACAGACTCAGAGGTGCCTTACTGAAAGCAGATATTGGCTGGGTCTTCAATCCACCAGCTGCCCCATACATGGGAGGAGTATGGGAAAGGCAGATTAGCACAGTAAAGAAGGTTCTGCAGGCGATTGTGGGCTCACAAGTCTTAGACGATGAACGTCTGCAAACACTGTTCTATGAAGTGGAAGCCACAGTTAACGAGAGGCCAATCACCCCGGTTCCAAACACTCCAAATGAACCAAAGGCTCTCACTCCCGCTGATCTTTTGCACTTAAGTCAAAAGGGTAATCTTCCCTTAGGTGGAAGGCCAATAGGCGAATCATACCACAGAAGGTGGAAGCATGTCCAGTACCTTGCAGATCAATTTTGGAAGCGCTGGCTGACGGAGTACCTCCCTCAACTCAGAACTCGACAAGTGCATTTCAGACCACGGCGCAACTTTCGCCCTGGTGACCTAATCATTATAGCAGAAGCAAATAGTCCACGCAACAAATGGCACCTTGGTCGAGTAATGGAAGTCAATGCTGGCGAGGATGGACTTGTCCGACAGGCAGTGGTTAAGACGACGACGTCCACAATGTTGCGACCTGTGACAAAATTATGCTTGTTGGAGGGAGCAATGGAAAGGGTTGACGGAGTCGGCCAGGAGAATGAATTGGGTATCCACACATGAAGATGGTGATGTCCGAACGTCAAAGGACCGAGATGTCCTAAGGAACTGATAAGTACCACAAGCCTGAGGGCAGCTTAGTCACAAGAAGGTGACAAAGTTAAATACCACCAGCCTGAGGGCAGCATAGTCACGAGAACGTGACAAAATTAAAGTTAAATACCACCAGCCTGAGGGCAGCTTAGTCACGAGAACGTGACAAAATTAAAGTTAAATACCACCAGCCTGAGGGCAGCTTAGTCACGAGAACGTGACAAAATTAAAGTTAAATACCACCAGCCTGAGGGCAGCATAGTCGCATGAACGTGACAAACTTAAGTATCAAAGGCCTGATCTGGTCTTGAGCGTGAACGCTCAACGGAATGGGTGTTACTGCAAGCGGTACATAATTATGATGACATATAAACAAATGTTAAGTTAGGCTGTAACTCACAATGTAAAGTGTTGAGATGGTTGAAGATGAGAGGTCCAGAAGGAGGTTGGAGGGTGTGAAGGGAGTTTGTTTATGTATAATTATAATCAACTGACACAGCCATAGCTGACCAGCCACGAGGCCAGGCTATAGGGTGGGCATTTGAGTATAGCTACCCATGTCTTAGAGTCAACACCTACCCTGGCTTCTCTCTAGACTTTCAACACGATTTTTTTTTCTCAGCTGAGAGGGCGTTGACACACGTTGGGTGGCGGGCACTGGTAAACACAGCTGTGAGTGCTAGCTCCCAAATTTGGGATGTTTTCGAGTCTATTACATTATCTGAAGGATATATAGACTTACCTACTTGTGTATAAGGACCTGAGGATAAGATATGTATCGTCAAGCAACTTTGGTGTTGGGAACTTACTGTTTACCACACGAAAATAACTCCTCGGGGTCCAATCACTCCTGGCTGGGTGTTGTGGGATGTCAACATTGCCCAATGGAAAGTGAATTTTCGCTTAAGAACTCTACATGGAAGAGAAAAGAAAAGATAGTATTGGGCGAAGTTCTTGAAGACCTTGAGTTGAGTAGTGATGAGTCTAATACGAGTGATGAAGCACAAGGGAAGTTCGAAAGTGAGAAAATACAGCTACAACAAGAGGTAGTGAAAAAGAAAGAAATTTCTAAAAGGATAAGGGAGAAGAGCTGGCAAGATACAGTGAAAGCGGAGAAGTGAGAGAGGAGAAGAGACAAAAAAATCTAGGACCAAAAACGTTTGTGGGTGGTAATAATAATGAAAATAACAGAAAGGAGATAGTGGAGAATGGATCAAGAACAGAGCAAAGTATGGAATTTGAAGGAAGCAGACAAGTACACACACAAGGTGAAGTTGGTCGTGTCAGGAAGAGATTAATTTTCCACAGTCATGCCCGATGACCTTCTTTGAAAAATTAAAAAGGCAGTACAACTAGGACGGGAGCATCGCATCTTTGAGCCTCTTTTGAAAGAAGGCACACACAAGCCTTATCTTACAGTGGGGACCATGGAGGCTGTGGAAATGTTGACAACTGTTGGGTACAAGGGATCACTGATGGTTTTGCCAAAGGAGAGCTATATACTACTTACAAAGGTTATAATCTTCAGGTACCCTGTAATACTAGATCCAGAATACTTATTGGATGACGAAAGATTTGTTTGGGTCAAGTGGCATTTAATAAGGGGAGAAGAGAGAAGCCAGGTTATTGCTCTAATGAGAGGAAAGGTTCCCGAGAAAGTGTTCATCACAGGAGCAGGGTATAGGAAGGTGGCACTATATATGGAGGGACCAATAATGTGTCAAGTGTTGCAGATGGGGACATAAGGCCTGGAGCTGTCAACTGGACCCACGTTGTAGATTCTGTGGGAAGAGGCACGAATCTAGCAACTGTAAGGACAAGATCAATGTAGGAGAGAAAGTGAAGCATTGTTGTTGTAATTATAGTAAAACTCACAATGCTAGTTCAATTGCATGCGAGATGAGGCCACGTATGAGAAGTGACCAACAAAGGAATTATTCAGAGAACAATGAAGAAGTACGCTGTGGTTTGACAGTGACAAGACATCAGGAGAACACACAGACAGTGGAGACAGTGATCCCTGACAATGCCTGGCATGAAGATTCAAGAAGAATAAGGACTGTGCTTGCTGCCGGAAGAGTTGTTGATGCCAGGAACAAACAGAGTAATAAACAAGTAGCAAGCGAGAGTAGTGGTGCAGCCCTCCAGGTTAGTTATAAAACTGTGCAAGAAATTCTGGGAGAAGTTAGGTTAGAAAATAGAAGTGAAAGAGAAAAGACTTGATACAGTGATAAATAAAGAAAGGGAAAACAAAGCTCTGAATATTGTAAAATAAGAAGGGAAAGAGGAAAGTGAAGAGCTCAAGCTTTTTAAAAATCAGTGCTTAAAATAAGTATTAAAGGGAAGGAGAGGAAAATAAAGGATTGTGTAGTGCAGGGAGCAACAACTGAAAGTTACAAAAATGTGTTGGTAAAGTGTAAAGATGCTGATAAAGAAAAACTTTTGAGGAAATGGGAATCTGTGCAGGAGGATTGGGCCTTCTTAAAGAATCTGATTGGAAATTATATAAAATGAGTAAATATTAATCATGGATCTAGCTAGCCTTAAGATAATGTCCTGGAATGTTAATGGTCTACGAAATAGAGTGACAGATGTACATTACTTTACCCTTAAAAATAATATTGACATAATTACCCTTCAAGAGACTGGGGACAGGAAAGGCGACCTGCTTAAACTGTCTGGATATAAGGGATTTCATCTCTATTCGGGTGAAGGTATAGGAGGGGTCTCAACATACATTAAGAATTCCATACCAGCAGAACTAGTTGCAAGCCCGAGTAGGGTACAAGGAATAGAAAGTGTCTGTTTAAAGTTACATTTCAAGGAAGGAGAATTGAACATAGCAAATTTTTATATTTCTGGAGGCTGTTTTGACCTCAACTTCTTACCAGATTGCATGTTTTTGGACTCAACTTTGGCTGTAGGAGATTTTAATGCTCGACATCCAAGTCTCGAAACAATGGGGAGAATTAATAGTAATGGTATAAAATTTTGGCAATTTTTACAAGAACACCCAGATGCTTCCTTGTTAGGAAATGAGGAAGTGACTCATATTAAAGGAGGAAGGTTAGACTATGCTTGCATGATAAGCAGTCAGGGAGTCCAGGGATAATGTGAGATAATAAGGGAGCTAGTCAGTGACCATTTAGTTGTGTATGTTCAATTACCATTAGGGAAGAGACAGGTGAGATATGGGAGGAAGAGATTGAAACTAAACAAGGCTGACACAGACGTGTTTACCCAAAATATAGAGAAATGGTACAAAAATTTTACACCAGTCTGTATGGATAGCTTTTATAATGACTTAGTTGGGGAGATAGAAAGATATTTAACTAAGTCAACACAGAAGAAGATAAATGATAAGACACATGGGGCTAGGAAACACTGCTATACCAATGACAAAATGTTGAAGGGATAGACACAAATGTTAAGGGCTGCACATAAAGATTGGGTAAAGAATGGTAGAAGAGAAGAAGATAGGGAAATCTTCATGGATATAGCCAAAATATGTGGGCAAGCAAGGAAGGAGGCAAGGGAGAAATATTTGCAAGACTTTGCACAGCATATTGGGGAGAGTAAAAATCTCAAAGAAATATGGCAGGATATTAACAAAATTAGAGGAAAAAGGAGTAATTTTATTAGTCATCCTCATCCAGAGGAAGAAGCTAATAAACTGGTTGACAAATGGGCTAAAGCTGCTATTGTTGCCTCCCTGCCTAGCAGGACAATAGAAGCATTAGATGAGTGGCAAAATGAAAGAAGATGATTTATTTCGTCAGCTCTAAATACTTGTGATGTAACATGTGTAGATATTACTCAAGATGAGTTATTAAATGTTGTTAAAAAAGGAAAATCTACAGCACCAGGCGAAGATGGTGTGACTTATGAAATTTTGAACTGCTTAGTTGGTATGGAAAATAGTCCATTATTAGATTTATTCAACATGAGCTATACAGAGGGTAGATTACCAATAGAATGGAAGAAAGCGATAGTTATTCCTGTCCCTAAGGCAACTGGTGGATACAGGCTAGTGTCTTTAACATCTTGTTTTTCCAAGATGATGGACAGAGTATTATTAAATAGGCTTGTATATATTGTGGGGAAAATTTATCTTGTAATTTATTTGGTTTTTTGGAAGGGAAATGTGCTTCAGACTGTGTTATAAAATGTTTATCAAATGATGCAGACAGATGTAGAGTTTTTGTGGATTTACAAGGAGCATTTGATAAAGCTCACAGTGAAGTAGTTATGAATGAACTGGCTGCTCTAGGGGTATCAGGAAAGTTGTTACA